CATACTCATACTCATACTCATACTCATACTCATACTCATACTCATACTCATACTCATAGCTATTCAAATAGCTTGAAAAGAAATACTTAAACTCACTTGAATTTTCTTGGTGAGATATATCTCCAAATACGACCAACTTTACGCTTGATGGTGTTTCCATAGATCTTGAAATAAATGCGTTTTGTACGAGTGATCTTTGTGTAGTAGTAGTGTTTTGTAATGCTGTAGTAAATGGTATATCGTCCATTGTAGCGAAGTGGGGTACGGCGAACTGTGCGACGTCCTCGGCGATCTCGACGAGGACGACGTCGAAGGCGACGAATTCTACGAAGGCGACGTCTTAAACGTTTGAGGCGACGAATGCGTCTTATGCGACGACTACGGCGGCGGCGGCGACGACGAAGACGAAGGCGTCTAGCTTTACGTCTTTGGCGACGTTTTACTCGTCTTGCTCGTCTCACCTTTGAATTATAACGAACACGTCTTATAAACTTTCTTCCCAGCTTGCGGAATTTTTTAAAAAAGCGTATTCTTGATCTTYTAAACTTGAAATAAAGTGGCCGTTTGTGGTATTTGAGAACAAATCCTTTCTTAGATGGTTTGATTCTTCTCCACCTTCGTCCTCTTTTGTAACGAATCCTGGAATGATGAAAAAAGTTAAAAATTAAATGAGAGATATGAACAGATCAGAGTGGCATATTTAATCACTAAGGCCTAAAATAAGCTTGGATCGTTACAAATTATATTGACATACATTAGTTTAGTCCTTGGCTTTGGTATCCAGCGCCGACCTTTCCTATACAGCAAGCCCTTTTTACCGAAGCGGAACTTTCTTCGATTGACGAAGAAGAATCGCCGTGAAGGCACAAATCTCCTCCAAGCTTTTCTGAATTTCATCTTCAACAAGAACTTAGGTCGACGTCTACGACGGTTTGGTCTTTTTCGACGTGGTCGAAGGCGACGGCCTCGACGACCTCTACGACCGCGCGTACGTCTTAAGCGACGACGACGAGGTCGTTTTGCGCGACGTCTCRAACGTYTCACACGTCTACGATACCGACGATTTCGTCTTCTAACGCTTCTGCTTATTCGTCTGCTCTTACGTCTTCGTCGACGTCGTCGTCTCTTTATCCTTCTTTTGTGTCGTTTTATTCYTCTTAATCGTCTGATTGTTCGTAATCTTCTACCAACTCGTATGAAAGATTTACCTCTTCTTAACAAGACTCGACATCTAACCAAACGGTTACGATATCTTAACGGTACCTTCCAATATCGTGGCTTGCGAGCCAGTTTGAAACGACGCCTYCCGTAACGAAGTCTACAACAATAGAATAATAAGCGGAGCAAATTTATTGAATGTTTCAAAACATCAACCCAAAAAATCAAAAAATCTAGAGGGGGGAAGCTAAACGTAAGTTAAGGGCCCTTCCTACTCATGTATGCTTTCCAATCTCATTCTAAAGGCCCGTGGTGACCAAACTAACATGTTTTAATGGAAAGGTGTGAAAGACAAATAGGAAAAAAGAAAGAGCGAGATAAAGAACGGACACCGGCCAATAAGAAGAAAAAATCGAAACGAAAACGAGAGAAACAAAGATAAAATAATAAAAGGCAAAATAAAATATTCAAATTGAGACTTTTTAAATCAAACTTCTAAGCAAACCTCATTTTTTTGATAATCCTTGGTCTTCGTCCATAGAAAATACGAACATAGTTCTTGGTCACGGTAACTCGTCGTTTTATTTTCCTGATCCTCACGAAGTACGTTCCTCTTCTTGAAATAAGCCTTCTGTAATGACCTTTGAAGAATACCCTAATTTTTGTGTCGTTTCCACCCAAACGCTTTTTTCGTCTGTATCGTCTGTAACGGCGTCTGATTCGACGTCTCATTACGCGTCGTCGTCGTTTTCGTCTTCTGTTTATTCGTCTCCTCACTTTTCTTTTTTGTCTGCGAAGTCTTCGGCGAATTCGTCGAGCAACACGGCGTCGGTGTCTTCGTCTTCTTTTTCTTCGACGGATCATACGCCGGCGAATTCGGCGTCTTGTGCGGCGCACGCGGCGACGCCTTTTAACAAGTCTTCTTTTACGTATTCGGAGTCTTCTCCAAATTTTTTTTACCTTTTTCAACTTACGTCTAAAGGGCGACAAGACTTTGAGTCCCTTTCTACGCAGTGTGTAGAGGATTTTTGTTTTGCCAAATCGCACAGTCCACTTCTTGCCTTTAACCTTTGCAATTCTGCGATGACGACCATATCGAACGCTAAAACCCACAATTTACAATTGTTAGTTGTTTATTGTTTATTTATCATCACTAATAACTTGTACCTTGTATCCTAAAATAAATGGTTACCATGCACCCATGATTGGCTCATTTCACCACCAATGGTTTCCATGCATTTTGAACAGATCTGGTGCGCCCCAAATTGTTATAATTATACACCTATTATTAACGTAGATCAGACAAGTGATGCTTACCCGAAAATGGCATTCTTAATGACCTTTTTTACGACACGTCGGCCAACTCGTCTGCTAATGATCAATGTCTTACTGTTCTTGACCAATACACGCTGGGTTCTCCTGTGGTATCTGGTGACAAGTCTGTTGTGGTATGGGTATATTTTATGCCATGGTCTTCCTGGTGTACGATAACAGATAACAGGACGACGTCGGCGTACTCTTCTGCGTTGTCGTCGTTTTTTTCTTCTTACACGACGTCTGACGAAGAAAGGTAAATGTTTCTTGATTATTTGAATTTAAAAAAATCATTTTGGCATTAAGAACGAATGCATGGCCAAGATGCTTGGAAATTAAAGTTGATCTTAAGAAGATGTAATAAAAGAGTATAAAGTCAAAACAAGCCTGCCATACGAAAGGACGTCGATATCATACTTTCTTATCTTTTA